AGTGACTGTGGAAATTATGTGTATTACAAAGTTGTATCGAGAAAGAATAAATTAGTTTTAATCAAGAAGAGACTTGTATCGCTGAGGTTCCTCGGAAATAATTTATACCGGAAATTAACAAACAAGCAGATACGTAACAATAATAAATCCGTCACAGAGTATTTTACACTAATCTGTAAAGTATGTTATACTTATGGCTAGTTTACAAAGACAAGCTGGAAATAAAAATAAATAAATAAAAATGTTAGTCAAAGTTCAGTAAACAAATTTACTTGCTATCTTTGTTTTTCACAATACATAGAGCCCCCAGTGGCACAGTGGTATGTCTGCGAAGTTACAATGCTAGAAACCGAATTTTGATACCCGTGGTGGGCAGAGCAGAGAAAACCCATTGTGTAGCTTTGCGCTTAACAACAAACAAACAACACATAGAGCAAGTACATAGTTTCAAGCCATGTATCTATGGGGTGTATAGTGAACAAAATATTCTTGATGATCAGAATTTATTTATGATATCAAATACTGCCCGAATTAACGGAACACACAGATAACAGTATAGCCAAGACATACAATATTGTATATAACGCTTTTCTGAGTCACTCTAAAATTCACAGTTTTGTTGTCGAGGAAACTAAAATACTTAGTAAAATTACTTAAAAACGTTTATAGTTTTCAAACTTCATAAAATGAAAGATTTTAAATAACAAAAGAGATGTATAAAACTTTGAATTCATAAGTCTTATCATGACTCTATTATTAAAGACAACTTGCTATTTACTAAGTTTGGTTTTATTAAAAAAAGATTGAAACTAATAATAAAAATAAGCTCTTCTAAAGCACGTTGAGTGTCTAATCAAATAAAACAACATTTTAGTGTTATAAGATCGTTTATTTCTAGTATTATTATGTCTTCTATACACCAATATGCACTACATTAGGCATTCACAACCTGGGGTACATGTACCCCCAGGGGTACAGTCGCACTTCTCAGGGTCTGAGAGTATAACCATGGTTTACACTTTACATGGTGTTTTAATCTACAGTCAGACAAAGAGAGCAAAGTAGCTCACATAAATATACACACACACATATATATATATATACACATATAAGTTCAGTTTATCGATGTTATCAATACTATAAGATCCTTATGCAGTCCACACATACAGATTTCATAATAAAATAATATAAAATCAATATAAATTTATCAATTTTTGATCCTTAAGTTTTAGGGGTACATGGGAACCTGTCAGAATGCCCAAGGCCAAGGGGTACAGAGGAACAAAAAGGTTGGGAATCCCTGCACTACATAAATTAAAAGACACTCCACTTGTTGTCAGCTGCATGACCATTATTATTTATCAACCGTTGGTAACAAAAATACT